TGGATAAGTAGGATATCATCAAGGACCACTTTGACTCTCTTGTTCTCAGACTCTCCCTTTAAGTTTCTGGCTGGTTGCCAATTTCTTGACACAAGTATTGTGATCTCAGTTTGGCTAGGTGTTATATTGGCTTTTCCATATTGTTTGCCACTGAGATCACTATCCTATATAATAAAGTGGTAAAATGCAAATTGACCCTTACACTGTGACGCCGTCACAAGACGGCAGTGTGCACATCGGGGGCGGGGTTGGCGGCCACTCCATGTGGCTTCAGCCGGGGTTCCTGCGGCCCCACAGGGGCGCAGGGGTCCCGGCATCCACTTTACGTGGCTACTGCCAGGGTTTCCATGGAGTGGGACTCCAGGACTCAGGGCAGTCCCATGGCACAGGGGGGTGGGAGGGAGGCGAGGAGGGGTCCCAGGTCTTGCACGATTTCAAGCGAAGGGTCACTAGTTATTATAACACCTCTAGTCATAGAATTTTCTGTGCTCTGCTAAAAATAAAATCAGCCCTCTCTAGGAGTGCGGCTGCTTGTCCTCATGGTCTGACTCATCCAGGTAAACTCCTGCAAAATGGAACCTGGAGTGGGGGTGGGAGGTTGGGAAAATTGGAGCAGCACCAAGCTAAAATGTCACAGACACCCACTATTCTTATTGAGGTTTAGTAAATTTTCTTAAACACTTCTCAGTGTGTTGTAGTCTTTGGTAAATGTCCCAAATTAGAAGATCTTTTATTGATAATTCTCTCCAGTTTTATTTATTTTTAAGGACATTTGCCATATCCTCACTCAGGAATTCTGGAAGCCCCATTGTTCTCTATTTTTGAAAAACTCTTCCTCCATGTAGTCTCATAGTTACTTCTGCACTGCATTTAGTCCCTGCTTAGCGTGCCTTTTCCTTAATTTACTTTATAAAATAATATTTGCTTTATCTCACTACTCTGTTTTATTTTACTTCATAACACTTTTCCATTTCCTAAAATTACTGTGTGTGTGTGTGTGTGTGTGTGTGTGTGTGTGTGTTATTTATTGTTTTTCTCCCCCACTGGAATTCAAGCTCCCTGAGGATAGGGATGCTATCTTGGTAATCACTGCATCCTTAGTGACTATTATAATGTCTAGTATATAGTAGGTCCTCCATAAATATTTGTGGGGAAAAATGAATGAATGGTAGATATCTAGCCTTTTTAGGCTGTGAGAAAATAATCATTCTCATAAACTTTTATGGTACCATAAATCATTACAGCAACTTGGAATGTTACTAAACTTGCAATTACATTGATACTTGAACAACACAGGTTTGAACTGCAGATACTCTTCAATAAGTATATTGGAAAAATTTTTGGAGATTTGTGAAAACTTGAAAAACTCACAGATGAACTGCGTAGAGTAGAAATATTGAAAAAAATTAAGAAAAAGTTAGGTATGTCTTGAATGCATAAAATATATGTAGATACTAGTCTATTTTATCATTTGCTAACATAAAATATACACAAGTCTATTATAATCAATTGTATAATAATTTATGCAAACAAACACACTGTACACAACACCTTCACAGTTGAGAGAAATGTAAACAAACATAAAGAAGCCATATTAAATCCTAACTACCTAGTATTACCTGTAGTACATACTGTACTACTGTAATAATTTTGTAGCCATCTCCTGGTGTCATTTTGATGAGCCCAAGTGTTGTATCTGCTTAAGCATCATGGGACACTAACCATCTCCATGTGAATTTGTCCCTCCAGTAAATTGAGTATTGTAGTAAAAAGTGATCTCTTATAGTTCTCATGTATTTTTCATCATGTTTGGTATGACACTGGAAACTGCATAGCACCATGGGCTCCATCCAGAGTGTTACTAATGATGCTGGAAGTGTTCCCAAGAAGCAGAGAAAAGCCATGATATTCTAAGACAAAGCTGAATTACTTGGTAGCAACTGTAGAATAAGGTCTGTAGCTGTGGCTGTCCACCATTTCAAGATAAACAAATCCAGTATAAGGATCATTATAAAAAAAACTAAAGGAAATTCATGAAGCTGCTGCCACTGCAGCTATGCCAGCAGGCATGAAAACCTTGCACTTTTTGTGAAATACATTTTATCTATGTAAGTGCAGGATTGCTCTAAGAAATGCATACCAGTAGACTAATGTGATTCAAGAAAAAGTGAAGTCATTACATGACAACTTAAAGCCAAAGGAAGGTGAAGGATCTAAAGCTGGAGAATTGATGCCAACGAAGGAGGGTTTGATACTTTTAGAAAGAGGTTTGGCTAAAAATTGTCAAGATAACAGGAGAAGCAGCTTCTGCTGACCTAGAGGAAGATGAATTCCCAGAAGCCGTTAGGAAAATCATTGGAACAGTATGGAGGGACCTGGAGATTATTATGCTAAGTGAAATAAGCCAGACAGAGAAAGACAAATACTATATGATCTAACTTATATGTGGAATCTAATGAACAAAATAAACTGACGACCAAAGAGCCAGAGGCATGGATTCATGGAAAAGACTGACAGCTGTCAGAAGGGAGGGGAAAAGAGAGGGGGGAGACTAGATGAAAGAATGTGAAGAGATTAGCCAAAGAACATATATGCATAGCTCATGGACACAGATAACAGTGTGGTGATGGTCAGAGGGAGGGAGGGCAGAGGCTGGGTGTAGGTGGTAAGGGGGAAAATATAAAGGACATCTATATTAGTGTCAACAAAGAATCTTTTAAAAAGAAAATCATTGTAGGGACTGGGTAAAGGTAGGCAAAAAGGGGAAATGGGAACATCTGTAATAATGTCAACAATAAAAAAAAGTTTAAAAAAAGAGAGAAAACTTTTTTAAAAAAGAAAGAAAAAATAAGAATTGAGGAGAAAAGATACCTGCCTGAAAGATATTTAATGCTGACAAAAGTTTCCTATTCTTGGGGGGAAAGGCTACAGAAGATATCATTAGTAAGGAAGAAAAGTAAGCTCGGAGATTTAAGGCAGGAAGAGATAGGCTAACTCTACTGTTCTATGCAAATGTAGTTGGATTTATGCTCAGGACCGCCCTTATCTATAAAGCTGTTCATCCTGAGCCTTGATAGGCAAAGGTAAGCACCAGCTGCCAGTCTTTTGGTTGTACAACATGAAGGCTTGGACAATGAGAACCCTTGTCCTGGATTGGTTCCATTGATGCTTTTCCCTGCGGTCAGGAAATACCTAACCACCAAATGACTGCCCTTTTAAAGTCCTTTTGATATTGGACAGTGCTTCTGGCCACCCAGAACCCAAGTTCAACATCGAAAGTGTTGAAGTGATCTACTCTCCCCAAAACATGACGTGTCTGATTCAGCCTCTAGATCAGGGGGTCAATAAGGACCTTTAAGGATCATCACTACACAACGTAACATGGAACTTGAGGGAAAGGATTGTCAATGCTGTGGGAGAAATCCTTGATAGAGCATCATGAAAGTCTGGAATAATTACAACATTGTCATTAAGAATTACATTACCATACAGTTTGCCTCTTTCTCTCTAATTGGATAAACTGCATATCAGCCTATCTTCTCAGGAAAATGGTTTTTTTAAAAATGTGGCAATGTTTCCTATATTGTATTATGAATATGACTGTAATACTGTATTCCATAAAGATGTGAATGATTTATGCATTAGTGTATAGACTAAGCTACTATGAGGCAATCATATCAATTATACTAGGCTAACATAAAGTAATCATATTGCTGTATTTCATTATCAATGTATGAATCATTAAACCTATATGTAAATATGAATCTTTTTCACATTATCTTTTAATTTTTGATGTATAGTGTCAATAATATTCATAGCCTATAAGACAATGTTGATTCAGGTGCTTATAGACAGACAATTTATCTTATAAAGAGATGGCATAAACTTACAGGATCAATAAATACAGCACTATAAAAGTATTTTCTCTTCCTTATGATTTCTTTAATAACATTTTCTTTTCTCTAGCTTACTTTATTGTAAGACTACAGAATATAAAATATATATAATATGCAAAATATGTATCAATTGACTGTTTATGTTATTGGTAAGGCTTCTGGTCAACAGTAGACTATTGTTAGTTAAGTTTTTGGGTAGTCAGAAGTTACACACAGGTTTCCAACTGCATGGTGGTAATGGGGGTCAGTGCCTCTAACCCCTGTGTTGTTCAATGGTCACCTGTACACCTCTAGAAATCAACTACCTACAGAAATACTAGTCTTATATGCAAATATATATGTACCAGGCTGTTCACTACATCATGGTTTTATAATTCAAAAAATTAGAAAATAGCTAAATATGCAGCAATAAAGGAATGTTAAAATAAATTCTAAGGGAAAGTATGACACCATTAAAAGGCATTACTTAAATATGTTTTATAATGAAAAGATTTTTATGACAGTTGAGTAAAATGCATGTGACCAAACAATATCAGTATGATCACATAGTTAGTAACAAAGAAAACTGTGTGTGTGTTTGTGTCTGTATTTTTGTGTGTAGATCTGCATGTGTGAGTATGACAATTACATTAAGAAGACAGTAATATTTTTTAATCCTTACTCAAGGATATGCTTATTGATTTGAGAGAGAGAGAGAGAGAGAGAGAGAGAGAGAGAGAGAGAGGGGGAGAGAGAGAGAGAGAGACTGATTGGTTGCCTTCCATATGTGCCTAACTGGAAACTGAGCCCATAACCTAGGTATATGCACTGATTGAGAATCGAAACCATACCTTTTGGTGTATAGGAGTACGATCCAACCAACTGAGCCATACTGGCCAGAGCAAGAGGACAGTACCTTGTTTTTTTTTACTTTTTAATTTACAGTTTTATTATTCCTTTTATAATTTTATAAAAAATAAAATAAAGAAAAATTTAAAAGGAAATATTATATATCCCATTTTTATCCATTTCAAACATATTGTATCAATGCACTTCTTCTCCTCATAGGATGTGCTTATTAAAATCAACATCTCTTGATATGCTAGAGAGTAGATAAACACTTACCAAATCAATACAGCCAAAGATCGAGTATGTAAATGCAATAGCTAATTCCAAGAGGTAGGAGAACAGTAAAACACGTGAAACTTCCCTCCCAAGTTTCTGAAACCAGAATAGGGAGAAACCTTGCATTATTATCTAATCTAATAAAAGAGAAACATGCAAATTGACCACAACTTCGCTATGCCTCAAGACAAGCCCACCAGCCAATCAGAGCGACTCTATGCAAATTAACCCAATCAAGATGGCGGCCAGCAGCCACGGAGCTAGAGCAAGCAGGAGGCTTGGTTGCCCTAGCGATGGAGGAAGCCAAGCTTCCTGCCTGCCCTGGCCAGCTGTGGCCTCCACTCAAGGCAACAAAGTTTCAATTATAGAAGCTAAATAAATCCCAGATACCTGCTTCCAGCCATCCTCCACTGAAAGCTTGGGTGGCTAGGGGCTGTGGCCGGCCTGCAAACAGCCATCAGCCCCTCACCCAGACTGGCCAGGGACCCCAGAAGGACCCCCACCCTGAATGGGGTGTGGCCAGCTTGAAAATGGCCCTCAGTCCCTCACCCAGGCTGGCCAGGTACCCCAGTGGGGACCCCTACCCTGAAGGGGCTGTGGCCAGCCTGCAAACAGCCATCAGCCACTCACCCAGGCTGGCCAGGCACCCCAGCAGGAACCCCCCCCCCTGAAGGGGGGGGGGTCAGCCTGAAAATGGCCCTCAGCCCCTCACCCTGGCTGGCCAGGCACCCCAGCAGGACCTCCACCCTTATCTGAGATACCCTTCAGGGCAAATCAGCCAGCCCACACCCATGCACCAGGCCTCTATCCTATATAATAAAAGGGTAATATACAAATTGACCCTAACAGCAGAATGACTAGGAATGACTGGTCACTATGACACACACTGACCACCAGGGGGCAGACGCTCAATGCAGAAGCTGCCCCCTGGTGGTCAGTGCACTCCCACAGGGGGAGCTCTGCTCAGCCACAAGCCAGGCTGACGGCTGCCAGTATAGCGGTGGTGGTGGGAGCCTCTCCCGCCTCCTCAGCAGCGCTAAGGATGTCCAACTACAGCTTAGTCCTGCTCCCAGCTGGCAAGTGGACATCCCCCGAGGGCTCCCAGGTTGCCAGAGGGATGTCTGACTGCCAGCTTAGGCCCAATCCCCCAGGGAGTGGGCCTAAGCCAGCAGGTGGACATCCCCTGAGGAGTCCCAGACTGCGAGAGGGCACAGGCTGGGCTGAGGGACACCCCCCCCCCAAGTGCACAAATTTTGTGCACCAGGCCTCTAGTTTTTAATAAGAGCAACTGTGTTCAAGGAAGGAGCTCCTAATATGAGAGGAAAATAGGAAGAATAAATAAGTCTCTCTCACCATTTGACTTCCCTAGGCACTTCTACTCCATTACCTTCTACTCCACTCTTCCTAACTTTAGCTTTCATTTGCCCAATTCCTTGCCTACAGCTTTCAATTTTGATCTTTATTGCTCACTATTCTTGTCGCACTTCTTCCAACTCTTCATTTTAATTATTCTCTGCACTATAGAGTCCCTGGAAGCCCACTATCCAAACACTTCCTAAATCCATTGATAATGTGGCTACTAAGAGATTTTATCAAGCAGTCCTCAGGTATTAAAACAGCTATTATTAACAGCAAACTTACTTAAATTTACATGTGTGGTAATAAAAATCACAACGAAATTGTTGTCATATATGCAAGGATGAGTAAATTAAGAGTTCAAAGAACACTATTTCATTGGAAAGTATAAGGGGACTATGGTTGCTGGGATAAATAAAGCAGACCCCTTCTATTGCTATCTGACAGATCATTTCAACTACATATCAGGATGAATGATATCGGTACTAATCCTGAAAATAATTGTACTTTTTGTACTGGCTATAAGAAGATAAAAATGATATTTAGACCTAGAAAGAATAACATTATAATTCTTTCCTTCAATTTCTTCTCTTATTTTTTGTTGGGTTTATTTAATAACTTTTATATGAACTAAACTATGAAGTAGTAGAATTAGATGGCAAGAATGAAGTGAAAAAATATTTCTATTTTCTCAAGGTTTATATTCAAGTAGAAAAGACAGAAAGATAATATAAGTGAACCTATGATAAAGTTAACTATGTCAAAATGAATAAAGACTCACTCAATAATTATAAGGGACAGGAGGTACACCCTAAGCCATGTACATCTGGGAGGGTTTCATAAAGAGGCAGGACCTTTGAAATAAGAGGACTGAGAAAAGTGAAGTTGAGAAGCAACAATCTAGGTAGCTTTAATTTACTTGTTTCTTTGTAACCTTTCTTGTTCCAGAAAGAATTTAATAACATGAATTAAAACTGTGACTAAATAATTAAGAAGTGAAGACAAAATAGAACCAACAATAAAGCTAAGATACATATCACGTGACTTGTGGTTTGATAATGAGAGCAAAAAACTGAATGTAAGAATGAATATAGAGGAAACCAAGATGGTGGCATAGGTAAACACCTGAAATTGCTGCCTTGCACAACCACTTCAAAAATACAACTAAAAGACAAAATAGACACCATCCAGAACCACAGACTGCTCTGAACTCCGGTTCCGGAAATCTCTGGGGTCCCAGGGCTCATACAGGGAGAAACTGGACTGTCTGGCAGCAGGCAGAACTCGGAACTTGAGGGCGGCTTTCCCTCAGAGGTGCTGGCAGCAATTACCGGGACACTGAGACGCGCGGCCCCTTAGGGCAGGGCTGAGAATCAGCCATAGCTGCTTGCTCCGCCCTGTTGATTCCGAGACCCCGCCCCATCCAGGCTGCTGCAAAGCCTTTTGCATATGAATGCCCGGGTCCTTTCCAACCTGACAACTACCTAACAAATTGCAGCTGGGCCAGACAGACCCAGAACTTCCAAGAGAAGGCCCAAGGCCCCACAGCAGCTTGCATTGCTTCTCAGCTGGGCCTCATCTGGGCACCCCCAAACCCCCAAAAAAGGAAGGGGAATCTGCATATCTCTTCATAGCTCCTGCTGGGTAACCTCAGGAAGAGGCTTAATTAGCACCTCCTTAGATCCAAGAGCCAGTGTACCCAGTGGTCAGAGTGGGACCACCCAGATTACAACTCCTCAGATTCATAAGGAACACACTCAGGGGGCAGACTCAGTGAGCACCAAAGCCCCACTGAAGCAAGTCTTGCCCCAGAAGGGTGTCTTCAGCACAGAAGTTCTCCCACTGCAGACACAGCTGATTCTCACTGCCAATTGGCCTGGAGGTCAATTCCTCCCAGTGACACCTAAAACAATCAAGGCATAACTACAACAAGACTGTGCACAAAGCCCACAAGGGGGTGCACCAAGAGTGTCCACCTCAGGTAACTGGGGAGGCTGAGCCACTGGGCCCTGTAGGACACCTAGCACACAAAACCACTCTACCAACACAGGGAAGCAGACAAAATGCGAAGACAAAGAAACAGGTCACAAATGACAGAAATGGAGGACAGCAAACGACTGGATATAGAGTTCAAAACCACGGTTCTAAGATTTTTCAAGAATTTTATGGAAACCGCCGATAAATGTATTGAGATCCTTAAGAAATCTAGTGAGACCCTCGATGTTGTGATAAAGGACCAACTAGAAATTAAGCATACACTGACTGAAATAAAGAATATTATACAGACTCCCAACAGCAGACCAGAGGATCGCAAGAATCAAGTCAAAGATTTGAAATACGAAGAAGCAAAAAACACCCAACCGGAAAAGCAAAATGAAAAAAGAATCCAAAAATACGAAGATAGTGTAAGGAGCCTCTGGGACAACTTCAAGCGTACCAACATCAGAATTATAGGGGTACCAGAAGAAGAGAGAGGGCAAGATATTGAAAACCTATTTGAAGAAATAATGACAGAAAACTTCCCCTACCTGGTGAAAGAAATAGACTTCCAAGTCCAGGAAGCGCAGAGAACCCCAAACAAAAGGAATCCAAAGAGGACCACACCAAGACACATCATAATTAAAATGCCAAGAGCAAAAGACAAAGAGAGAATCTTAAAAGCAGCAAGAGAAAGATAGTCAGTTACCTACAAGGGAGTACCCATACGACTGTCAGCTGATTTCTCAACAGAAACTATGCAGGCCAGAAGGGAGTGGCAAGAAATATTCAAAGTGATGAATAGCAAGAACCTACAACCAAGATTACTTTACCCAGCAAAGCTATCATTCAGAATTAAAAGTCATATAAAGAGCTTCACAGATAAGAAAAAGCTAAAGGAGTTCATCACCACCAAACCAGTATTATATGAAATGCTGAAAGGCATCCTTTAAGAAGAAGAAGAAGAAGAAAAGGGTAAAGATAAAAATTATGAACAAGTACATATCTATCAATAAGTGAATCTAAAAATTAAGTGAATAAAATAATCTGATGAACAGAATAAACTGGTGAATGTAATAGAATCAGGGGCATAGAAAGGGAGTGGACTGACAATTCTCAGGGGGAAAGGGGTGTGGGGGGTTGAGGAAGAGACTGGACAAAAATCATACACCTATGGATGAGGACAGTGCGGGGCTGGGAGGACAGAGGGTGCGGTGGGAACCAGGTGGAGAGGAGCTATGGGGGGGCAATAGGAACAACTGTAATAATCTGAACAATGAAGATTTAATTTAAAGAAAAAGAATGAATATAACATGTTGAGAGATGATAAAATAAATTTAACTCAGATATAGTGTGCACTCATGTCTGACATTGCCAGCAAGCGAAAGAAAAGACTTAAAGGGGTTGAAATGGCAAGATAAAGATTTCTGATTTAATTTTACTGGCAGAAACATAATTGTAACATTTGAGCTGGAAAGTACTTGTGACCCCTTATACAGCAAGATTGTAAAGAGTCATTGTGTTCATATTTCTTAATTTACTAGTATATGTTAGTGTTATTCTCAAACTCCCTCCCTGAAAGTGGCAAGATGTTGGCCACAAAAGTTCCAGCAGGAAAACAACACAGTGACTGAGTGCTCCACACATGCTTGAAGCTTCTGAATCATCCCTTTTTTGCTTCCGTCATTTTGGGTTGTATTTCCCGTCACTTACAACCAATAGAGTCCTGATTAATAAAAATGTAAGTAAAAAATGATACTTGGTAATTGGGAAGACAGTGGCTAGAAAAAGGCGAAAGGTTACAGAAAAGTTTTGAGCCTATGTGATTGAAATACGGTAGTTTTGCAGTACATTATTTTTGAGGAGGTAAATATTTTCCATGTTATATCTGTTGAGTTTGAGATGATGATGCTGGAAGCATATCTTAATAGAAAAATCAAGCTTTCTATGAGAACAACAGGACTGGAGTTTGGGAGACAAAGCAGTTAACTAATAGGTTGTGTTAGGATTTTCTTTCTCCGTTTACACATAAACAAACTAAGGAACAAAAAAGTTAAGAAACTAGTCCAAGGGGTCATACACAGTGAGTACTGAGGATGGTGTTTGAATAAAGGTAGTCTGGTTCTGGATTATACTATTTACCATTTTTCTATATGAGTATATCTCAAGGCATGCACTTTGGGGGCTGGCTGAGCCTACTGTGAACACTGATGACTTGATGAGTGTGTGGATTTAGCCAAAACACTTGCTTATGTTAGAAAGGTTGGCATATGGAAAATCTTGTAAAACTCTGGAAACTTTAGGTATATAATTCTATAATGCTGCTAAGAAAAGATGGCAGGTTAGAGATTTAAGTCTAACATACAAGTTCATTTTGTCTAACTAGTCACAGCAAATAAAGCTGAAACATGTGTTTGAGAGATTGTAAAACAGATCATTAATACTGAGCGCAGGTCAGATAAATACAATTGCAATGGTTTGTAACAGTGTTTGCAAAAGGTAGGTCTTGGCAATTATGCCATGTGATCTTAAACTGATTATTACAAGTTTATGAAAAGGAGTGGTAAGCTAAAATAACTTGAAATAACTCTACATTTAATTCCCCTTTTCCTATCTTTAGTACCAAAATCAGAATTGAAGATTTCTAGATTTAATTTCCAGGGCAAGTAAAGAATTTTCTTACAATTTATAGGAAAAAATCTGATGCATGCTTATTTAAATCACTCATTACACACAATCTATTTTAGGGTATTACTGCATCTTCTCTCGTGATCTCACTGTTGTCTAGGCTTCTGTTCTCCATGCTTGGAATCCTTCCACTGATGGTCCTATGGAGTGGGGGTGTCTGGGAGGAACAGAAAGTTTATTCCTCACCCACAATGACTCTTCTATTCATTAGAATTATATTTGGATTAAAACTTTCAAATTGTTGCCCTAGCCGGTTTGCCTCAGTAGATAGAGCACAGGCCTGAGAACCGAAGGGTCCCAGGTTCGATTCCAGTCAATGTTATGTACTTCGGTTGCAGGCTCCTTCCTGGCCTGGGCCCTGGTTGGGGTTCATGCAGGAGGCAACCAATCAATGTGCTTCTCTCACATTAATATTTCTGTCTATTCCTCTCTCTTCCACTCTCTCAAAATCAATGGAAAAAAATGTCCTCGGGTGAGGATTAAAAATAAATAAATAAATTAAAAAAAACACCTTTCAAATTGTTATTTGTTGTGCTCTTTTGCTCAGTAATAAAGGGGAGCTCCACTCCAATCTGTTATAACTTTAAATGGAAGATTTTTATAAATAGTGCAACACTAATAATCTGTGATTCTGAATTTAAAGCCAACACAATTAGAATAAAATCTATTGTGGTATTGGTTAAGACATTCACATTTATTTAGTATTTAAGGACTTATACTGCAGTTTGACAATCTGTTTGAGGCAGCTCTGCCTCTGTATCTATTATTGTTCATAAGTTTATAATGGTCTTTATTATCCATGAATGCGTGAGATCATGTGATATTTTTCCTTCATTGACTGGCTAATATACTTTCCTTTTTTTAAGAGAATCATCAATGATCCCATGCCTAATGCAGATACACTTACCACTGAGTCCTTCAAATTATTTACTTGCTTTATTTTAATTGGGCATGCCAAGATCTCAAATATTCCAGTAGTATTTACAAAAAAAAAATCATACTACAATTATTTTTGAGTTAGAACTTTCAGTCAAGAGCTTACAATTTGCCCTAGCCAGTTTGGCTTGGTGGATAGAGCGTCGGCCTGCGGACTGAAGAGTCCCAGGTTTGATTCCAGTCAAGGACACATGCTCGCATTGCGGGCTCGATCCCCAGTGGAGGACATGCAGGAGGTAGCCAATCAATGATTCTCTCTCATCATTGATGTTTCTATCTCTCCCTCTTCCTTCCTCTCTGAAATCAATAAAAATATATTTTAAAAAGAGCTTACAATTAAATCAGAGAATTTTTTGAGGACCAATGAAAACCTTATTTTTCCTCCTAGGGCTTCAAAACCACTGAAAAGAATCATTTTGAAGTTAAGAAGCTCCTATGGAACTGGTGACTTACTGCTTGTCCATAATTCCTATATGATACAGAATGAAAACTAGACAACTCCACTATTGTTAAAATTACTGCAATAATTACAGTAATTATGCAGGTGATGTTCAAGATCAAAGCCAATGTAACCTGAAAAGAAGATATAGGGAAAATTTATTATAATCAGAACAAACACATTGGTTAGACAGTATGCTGGAAAAAATCATCTAGTTAAAACTTTGATCTAGTTTCTGAAGCTTTAGAAGTGTTGGTATGCTTGCCATTAGAGTAAAATATTTTTCTGGCTGACAAGAAATCCAGTTAATCTGGAGAAAACACTAAAATATGATCACACCAATAAGCATAAATCTTGCACTTAAGGCTAAACAATATTGCATTTTACAATCTTCTAAGTTAGTTGGAAGAAAGCCTTATAAGATGTGATTTGAACAAAAGCAGTTCCATTGCAAAAAAGAAAAACAAGTAAAAGATGGACAAGAACTGCTTGTAGAAATAAGCCAAATAGGAATCAATGATTTTTAATGCTGGGTTTTAATTCTCTAGGAAAACTCCATAAATACTTTTGGATATCTGTACAATTATGTACAGTTTTTTATCTACACAATCAGAGATAAGATAAATTAATTTCTAAGGTATTGTTTAGCTATAAGATTTTCTCTTTCCACCTACACCATAAATGGATCTTTATTCTAGACACTAGTGGCCCATTGCACGAAGATTCGCGCAATAGGCCTTCCTTCCCCTGGCTGCCGGCACCAGTTTTCTTCTGGCACCCAGGACCCAGGCCTTTGGTCTGGCCGCAGCAGCAAGGCTTGGCTTCTCTGCTTTGGTTGCTCCCAGCCCCTCCTTTTTTTTTTTTAGCTCCTCCAGCGGAGGCCAGGGCTGGCTGGAAGCCTGGGTCGCCCCCCAGCCACTCCTTGAGTGGAGCCCAGGCCCCCAGCCCCTCCTTGAGCAGAGCCCAGGGTGGGCTGGAACCTTGGGTTGCCCCTGGTGACCCAGGCCCCCAGCCACTCCTTGAGCAGAGTCCAGGGCCAGCGGGAAGCTTGGCTTCTCCCATCCCCGAGAGCAACCCACACCTCCTGCTTGCTCCAGCTCTGTGACTGCCGCCATCTTCAGTTGTCTTCAATCTTCACTCCTCGCCTTCTTATGCAAATTAACCGCCATCTTTGTTGGGTTAATTTGCATAGTTGCTCTGATTGGCTGGTCAGTGTAGTGGAGTGGTGGAGTGACAAAAGTGATGGTTAATTTGCATGTTTCTCTTTTATTATATAGGACTAGAGGCCCGGTGAACAAAAATTTGTGCACTCGGGGGGGGGTGGTGAAGGGGGGCCCCCCAGCCCAGCCTGTGCCCTCTTGCAGTCTGGGACCCCTCGGCAGATAACGACCTGCTGGCTTAGGCCTGCTCCCGGGTGGCAGAGGGCAGGCCCAATCCCTAAGTGCAGCCCCTGGG